CACATAAAGCCCAGATATTTGGTATTTGTTACAGCCCAAGCTTTAAACTGCCTCCATCCAGCCTGGTGCAGCCTGGCAGTGAGATGGGAGAGCTGGAAATAAAATCAAAGGAGTACCTGTGTGGGGTTGCAGGACAGGAATTTGCCCCTTGTTGGCTTAATGCAGCATGAAAGTCCCAGGCAGAGGACAGGATGGGGCTGTGGATAACAGATCCATGAGCAGGAACACATCTCCAACCCTGCATCCAACTATCCAAACCTCACACTAGGTTCCCTCAGAGCCACCCATGGCCAGTGACACAATCTCCTCTGAGGAAGGAAGGTGTAGTGACAAGCAAAGATCTGAAAGGAGCATCTTCACAGAATCATAAAATTACTTCTGGGTGGAAAGGACCTTCAAGGTTATCCAGTTCCAACCCCTGCTCTGTGGGCAGGGACACCTTCACTGGATCATCATCATCTGTGTGAGCTGATGTTGTCCCAGTCCTTCCCCAAGCCCAGTGCAAGGGAGGGTTTGGGTGGCCTTTAGCAGATGGTAAAAGCCCTTCACAGCCACCATCAGAGAGAGGACAGGCATTTAACAGACGTGGGAATGGGGGAGTTTGTTCTGCAGAGGTTTACTTTGACAAGCTGGGATCTCACCAGCAGCCTAGATTACACAAGGAGCATTTATTCCACTTCTCTGCTACGCTTTGTGCTCCCTCCCAAGGTCTGGGACCAGCTTAGAGACACACCTTGGTGTGGGCAAGAAGCTTAAGGGAGTTGCAGCAGCCTCAGCTTCAGATTCTATCTCTTCTTACCAGTGCTGCAGTAACACTGGGCAGCTTGACCTGACTGGTGAAGCCCTGTCTGGGCAGACTAGATTTGTAATTCAAGTCCAGTGCATTGAGCTGCTCCCCAAAAGTGACAGCTCGTCAGCTGGAGTCAATAGGCAATTTGTGAACACAGAATTAAAATAGCAATTCCCTCTTGAATGGTATCAAGCTTCAGTGTAACAACAGCACACAGAAGATGTTCTGTAAGGAGGAAAATTCCTAGTTTGACCTTGATCACAACAGCCTTTATATAGGCTGGCACATCAATTTGCATATATTAACCATCCATGGCAGCAGAGTAGGGAAAAATTGTATATACAAGTGGTTTTTGCCCGAGGTAGTAAAGCACCATTCCATTGAAGGCAAAATGAGCAATCCAGTGCAGAACTGCTGATACCAAGCACTTCTCAATCAGAAGTGGTGAATTTTTTTAATAAAAGACACACTGCAGCCTTTCTGCCTTTCCTGTCAGAAGCTGATTTATCTATTGTAAAATTCACCAGCCTCAGCAACGCTGAGCAGCCTCTCCGAGGGAGCACACTTTGGCAGGGCTCAGAGGGAAAGACAAGAACTGGTTTCCAAAGTGTGCAGAGCTGATAGCACTGGATTTTCCTGCTTGAGCAGCAGTCATGATCCTGGTGAGGTACAGCATGACTGTTCTTGGCAGTCCTTGCAGCCAGCCCTGCCAGAGACTCAGTCTCTCCCACTCGTTCTCAGCAACTGCAAGTACAAGGAGGCTTCTCCTAGGAGATCTTTTCAGTATTTCTTTCATCTCCTTCTGTTTTTAGCCAGTTTAAACATTGCCATCAGGGCAGTGTTGGTGAAATTCAGATTGGAGGCAAAGCAGTATTTGAGGATAAAACCAGGGTGGTTTCATCTCACCTAAAGCAAACGTCAGTGCCTTGCTCACAGGAGGAGCTGACCTTTCTTTTCCTGCCTTCCTGAGGAGTTGCAGCTTCTGCTGACAGAGCACAAATGGCTGGAGCTGACACTGCCAGGCAGTCTCTCTTGGCCTCCTGCAAATCAGTGACTGAACAGCCAGGAATGATCACACTGCAGGTCTGTCAGAGCTTCAGGGTTTACAGATTCTCCACAGGACAACACAGCTCCATCTCGCTTTCCTCTTGGGATTTTCAGTTTTCACACCATGGCTGCATCCTGCAAACCTCTGCCAAAGCAGTGGGGAGGTGCAGAGCCTCAGGGGGGTCCCTGTGGAGTTTGGGGGAGTGACGGTGAAGCTGCTGAGGCCAAAGCGTGCTGCAGATGGATCCTGTGGACAAACTTCTGGAACAGGAGGAGAGCACGAGGAGGGAAAGCAGGACACATCCCCAGTGCCTGCCTGCACACCTCAGAGGGCAGGAGTGTTGCTTGTGTGGAGTGAGTGAGCTGTGAAGCCCAGAGTCACCTTCTGAGCCTGCATCTGCCTTGGAGAGCACCCACACAGATCAGTAATGGCAGGAAGCTCCAGCTGGAGCAGCTGCTGGTTCTGGGATCAGAGCACAGAGTGGGACATGGCAATGCAGCAGTGACCTGTCCAAGCCTTGTGTCTTCTGGTCTCAGTGTTTTCTGGTCTAGACTCCACTTTTTCTATCAGCTTTTACTGACTATGCTCAGTCTGAAATCCAGAATACACATCACTGCTTCCTTGGTGTTTTGTTTTTAGGGCATTAATTCTGGATGTTGTCAGAATAAAGGGCCCAGATCCTCTCTCCAGAACCAGCATGTCCTTACTTCCCATGTGAAAACTTTGCACCCCACACAGTAGCCCTTACAGGAAGAATGGACACAGCCTGTCCATGGAATAATACCAGTGATGTTATCAAACACAAATGGCCATTTTTTGGTGTAAAAATCAGTAAAATTACCTCTACATGGCAAGTAGGATTCAGTCCTGCTGACCAAGAACATAACAGAAGGTATTTTAAATTTGCACAAAGCCAAGTGCAGTCATCTGGAGCACTCATGTGGCTGTTTGGCTCACGGAGGAAACTGGAATCTGAACGTGGAACCCCACCACAACTGAAGGATTTGTCAGAGGACTCTCTTCTTTCAGGAAAACTGCTTTAAAAGTTACCTTTTTCTGCTGTAATAAGTGCCTCTGTAGACAAGCTAATAAAAATTTCAGAGTACATAAATTCATCTGCACTTTAATTCCTATTTATAGCTCTCCTTAAATAAGGAGGCAAACAATGTATCCAAAGTGCTCCTGAGTAAGAGTGTGAAGTCAGACTGTGAAACTCCAATGAAATACAAAGATGTTTTTGGCTCTATTAATGTTGGCAGCTTCCTTTCTCCTTTGTTACTGGCAGGGAAGAATATGGCTGACACCAGCACCTGGGCTGAAAATTAACAGAAGGCTCCTGAAAAAGGGCTGACCACCGTTCTGCTCCAGATCTCTTTGCTTTATTGTAATACTCTTTAAAAGATGACACTGCAGTTCAAGTCCAGAACCACTCTACAGAACAATGAATAGTGTTCACTGAAATTACCATTCCTGTGAACTTCACAAAAAAACACAGCAGGAAAATTAAAGATACAGTACTCCAGACTGACCAAGTTTCTGCTGGCATGGAAATGAAAGAGGGTTCTGCAGCTAGAGGCCACTCAGCCATTAGGATCAAACTCTTAATAATGGCCATGGAAATGTTCCTTGATTTCTGTTTAAATCACTGATTGCTCAAACCTCTACCTGGGTCACTGAAATTTAGTATTTCAGCCAGAATAAGCTAAGAACTGAAATACTCGTGTAGACTGCTACTCTCAAAGAGGACCACTGTATCTTTAAATGTATCCTGGATTAAACAAAGGTTTTATCTACACTTGTTAAATTATTGCACAGACCATTACACTGACAAGTACATTATGAACCCATGGAATGTTACAGTCTGGCCTGGAAAATAAAAGCAGCAGCATTATCCTTGAGGTCTCAACCATGAGGGAGAGCTGGCCAAGCACTTCTTGAATTGTACTAATTATTAATAGGTTTCAATACACAAATAAAACATTTTAAAATAATCCCTAACTCCCAAGATTATGTTTGGGAGCATTTTTCAAGACTTTCACTGTTTTGCAAGTGGCACTTAGTTTGATTTCTTGACATTTTTCTTGTATCAGACTACCTGCAGGAATCCAGCTGCTCCACATTTTCCAAGCTGAAGCCACACAAAGAAATAAAAGCTTGGGTCACCAGGGGATTTGAACCAGCCATTGCAATGTCCAATTGGTGCAGTAATTTTACCTCCTGCACATCTCCTGGCAGTTTGCTTGCATGACTTAAACCTGTCACTCAGGGAGGGGGATGAGGGAGCAGAGCCCACGGTGCCACACCACACGCTCAGATTCATGGCTGGACCCTCCCTCAGCCAGGCAGCCTCAGCTCCAGCAGCCTGCACTCATTGCCTCTGCTCCTCATCAGGCCAAAAGGGGAGGATTTGGGGAGAGGAGGAAGAACTAAAAAATAAAAAAGTCTGATTCATAAACACTTGCTCCGCACATGCAACTTGATGGGAAAGGATTTGGGGAGAGGAGGAGGAATTAAAAAATAAAAAAAGTCTGATTCATAAACACTTGCTCCGCACATGCAACTTGATGGGATTTTCTTCACAGTTCAGAAAGCTCCCATCCACCTACTCTGAAAAATATAAAATTCATTAAAACAGTTGGTGTGCAAAAAAAGAAAATGCCTTTGTTTTGTCCTCTCCTCTGGAAGGCATGATCACACATTCACGCTCAGACAAGTAATTAAAAAATGCCCATTTGCCCATCAAACTGACCAGCTGGCACACTGGTTTTGTGTCTGCAGTTACACCTTCTGCCATTATATTGGTTTATTTGGATCTTCCAGTAACATCCTTCTGTCAGTTTTAGCATTTTGTTGCTTCCCTACAACACTGTAGAAAGAGAGATGGCAACTGTTCTGTCCCTGTCTCCTCAACTGTAGGAAAAATCCTTACCCAAAGCTTCTGCTTGAGCAGGACTCTGGCTGTTTGATTTAGAACATAAAAGTTTCAAAAGCTACAAAAATCAAATCAGAACAAACAAATGGCTCATGCCAATCGTGGCTGCAAGTGATACATAAATAAACCACTTTTGTCCCAGGCAAAGCTCACAGCTGAGGAGAACGTGCACACACACATCACAATAGCACTGATTGAGTGGACTGAAATAAAGATTCAGCTGCCACGAGCCATTTCAGGAGGTTTATGAAAGAGAAACTGTAATAAATTTGTACAGAAGAAGCTGAATCAGCTTCAGACTGGGCAGCAGACACATTGACAGGGAGGCAACAGAGGCATAAGCATAAAAAAACAAAGTTATGTCTGACATGCAGCTAAGCTATGACAAAGTTATACTTGGAACCAGAGAAAAAGTAGAAAAAAATGCTGGTTTTAGTCCAGCTGTGAACTGCTGCCAATGGTACCATGAGCAGCACTGCAAACCAAGAGCTCTCGTGCCTTTGGCACTTCCACAGGGTCTGTGACAGCAGGGACCTTGGGAATGGCTCAGCCTGGAGCAGCACTTGGGTCTGAGCAGCTCTGGGTCCTGCTGCAGAGCCTCAGAGACCATGAGCTTCAGACCACGCTCTAGGAGAGGCAAGGGGGAAAAGAGAAATTCCAACTCTCACAGAACAGGGTGAGAGAAGACTGGAAAAATATTCTGTTCACCATCTGAAAGATCTTAGGAATAGAAATACAGACTCAGGCTGTAAACAGAGCTACTTCTACTCAGACTTAAGCCTTTAAAATCTGCTACTTATGAGGAAATTAATTTTCTTTCCTTTTTAAACTGTTGATAGTACTATCTGCTCAAAAACCTTTGTGAGGAGTAAAAGAAGTGGAGTGTTATTTAAGGTAATTTTGATGCCTTTGTATAGTTGTTGAACAAATTAACCAATTTTTAAAAGAAAAGGCTTTTTAGGTATGTAATAGGATCTATAGGGTTCACAGAAAGAACTCCATGCTGGAAAAGCAGACCACAGAGAACATCATGATTTGAGTTTTCAAGTGAGCTGACTGTTTTCGTGCTGAAGGTACATTCACAACCCATTCCCCCAAAATAAATGGGATACCTAGGATACCTCTGATGTTAGAAGTCACAGTTCTTCTCTAGAAGTTATGGTTTGTGTCATGCAAAGAGATTTGCTGGGTCAAAACTGACACATAACTCAATCTCCTGTTCCAGTCCTTAATGCTGACAAAGAGTTTCTCATGTTTCCAAAATAGTGTTTCTTTAACAAGATCCAGGAAAAAAATGTGGAGAAATGTATGACAGAAACAGAGATACATCTTGACACACTAAAGAACCATTTGGAAAACATCTGCTTAAATTAAATTTTACTATTAAATCCAGACATCTACTCATCTTGAAAGGGGCTTGCTGCCAGGTTTTTTCCTCAATGCTCTTGTATTTTCCACACATTTTTTCTTGCTGGAATCTTCTTTATAATTTTTTTTTTTTTTTGCTGCCAGGTTGCCGAACAGATGTCCAGAAGGACATAAGCAGCAGAAAGATTTCTTTTTTTAACAACATTAATAAAATACTACACAGGTAGAAGGAAGAAAGAAAAAAGAGACTACGTAAAATATTTTAACAGGGGCAAGGGTGTAGGTGAGGAAGGAAAACATCACAGCTTTGCTTTTCTGTGCAGCAGAAACTAAAATTGAGTGAAAACTCAATCCATTGAGTAAGGTGGGCAAATAAAGCCATTCTGGACATCCCTTGAGAGCTCAGGTCAATCCTTTAAGTTCACACAAATTATTATCTAGCTCTAGATTCATTCTGAATTCTAAAGGAGAAAAATAAATTTTCAAATACTAAAAAAAAAATAATGTCACAATGTTAAAAAACAAAGCTTCAATAAAAAATATGTTAAAGACCATCTTGAATTGCCAGACCTCCTGTAGTCAGAGCAATCCATAAGGCATTGGAACTCGATGTATCCAACTGCAGCTTGCCCAGTTAATGGCTGTCTTTCCAAGTCACACCCTGTCCTTTGTTTGCATTAAACACCCCAAATCTCAAATTAGATGAGGACTGGATGAACACCTATTAACCTACACATGCAAGGTTGTGCCATGGAAGTGTCCTTGCACTGATTTCCCTCCTTTAACATTTGTGTTAAGATAGTTGCTGTAGCCAGCTCCAATAGTGCAAGGAGAATATACTTATCACTATCCTTAAAAAAGGTAGAGCCACCTTTATGTAAGAAAAGATTCAGATGCTACTTTTTTTTTCCCTATACCGGGGTAGAAGGAAGGAGAATGAATGGGAAGCACAAACAGATCAGAAAGGTCAGCCATGATATTCCAGGTGTGTGTAAAACTTCCTCCCCTCCATCAACCAGCACAGCCTCCCTTTCCCAGCTGTGCAGAGCAGGTTAACACAGTTCTAAAAGTCATCCCACGCATTTTTTGTTGCCTTAGGAGGTTTTCTGGTCTTGCTCTCCCCTCCTGCGTTCTCCCAGTTGGTCTCCCAGTTTTCCCAGCTGTCGCTGTTACTGTTCTTGTTGGAGACCGTTCCTGAGCCCCACACGTCCCAGCTATCCGAGCTCTTCTTCTCTGTGGAATTGTCCACATAGGTCCAGCTCTCACTGCTTGGAGATTTATGAGCTTTTGGTGCATCTGAGGTGCCAAAGGTCTCCCAGAAGCTTTGATCTACAGCATTGTTCTGGTAGCCCTCCCCTCCACTGTTCTGGTAGCTGTCTCCCTCAGCTGGTCTTTTGGGAGATGGGGGGGAAAGGAAGGTAGAAATAAATTAGTTATGCCAAACATAATAGTAAAAATAAATGACCCCAAAGAAAACTGTAATGCTACTGCTCTTTGCTTAAAAAAAAACCCTTGATGATAAAGGAAGAACTAAATATTGCACCAAATTACATAAGCCTGTTGTCTAATTCACAGATTTTGTTAAGAGATTTAACAAGCCCAGGGAAAGGGAATATGCATTTGGAGTAAGTTTTAAACCAAAATATGTAACAGTTATAAAAAAGTTATATTGAATTCCTCCCTATTACATAGAGGAGGACTATCAGCAAAGACAGAATAAATTCTTGATATTGAAAAATTACCTTTCACTACTATACTTCAGAAAATGTACAGGAGATAAAATTATGTGTTCAAAGAGACAGAAAGCAAGAACAAAAAATTACCTGTCAGAATTATCATCTGCTTTGCCTGAAAAGAAAGTGGTGACATCTCTCCATCCCTTACTCCCAACTCCCTGAACCTAGAGGAAAAAAAAAGACACTCCATTCATTTGGACTGAACCAACACCCCTGCCAAACCCAACAGCAAAAGCCAGAATAAATTCCTCCACTTGTTCCCATAAATCAAACACATTTAACTCAGAGCTCATTAATGTTTCTGATGGGCAGTTACATGGTGGATGTAAAGAATATACACTTGACAGCACTGTGCTGCTGGACGAGGTGGGAAGTAGGTCAGGTTTAGCTTTTTCACCCATTGTAACATCTTTTGAATCCTCTCCTAGACCCCCTTGACAAAAGTACTGGAATTAGTCCTTACATAAAATTAAACTTAATGAAAGCACTGCTGTTTTATGATTAATGCAACTTGTATTTATATTTCTGCTGTTCTACACAGTTATTTTCATTCTGTTTCAGAATTATTTCACTACCCATGTAAAACAGGCCAAAAGTTGAGTCCTAGGATTGGATTAGAAATACAACTTCTGAAGTGACACCACGGAAGGTACTGTTCTGAGATAGACACAGGGAGGATGAATCCCAGAATCCAGCCTGAGAGTTGCCAGGCTCTAAAAAGAACATGTAACATAATTTATTTCATTTTATTCAAACAGTACCGAAACCTAAGACACTGAGCTGGTCTATGGGAGAGTTTCCAGTGCTGACTTTCCCAGTGCTAGAAGACACACATTCCTGGGTAACACCATGCAAGTTACCCCAGCAGGTGTTAGTTAGTGCAGGATTTCTGTGCTTGGCAGCCTCAGACAGCACTTACCACATCACCGAGCACCGAGCGCAGCGGAAGGCAAAGGAGAAAGGTGCAGAGCATTAGCAGGTTTTACTGTACCAGTGGAACACAAGCTGTCTCCATATTCCTTCACACATTTTCTTTGCTGTTTATAACCAACCCATGTCCTCATTCAAATTACTAAGAGGACACCAACATGCCTATGCAGCTTTAAACATCCCAACAGAAGTGCTGCCCGCTGAAAATTCCACTTTCCAAATTTCTCTATTCAACACAAGCAGAGACCAAAGCTGCATTGGGGTTTTGTATTCTTTTTATAAGAATATGGAGACTGGCTTGACTTGTTTGGCCTCCTTAAAGCCAGGCAGGCCACCTCATACCTTGCTGGCCAACTGTGATACCCCCGTGGTGACCTCCTCAAATATTTTCCCCTCTTTCACCTATGTGAACCAAAGTATTGGTAATTAGTCATGAAACAAAGTATTACTGAAACCTTCAGACAAGCTTATTTGTGTTTAACGGCTAAAATGTCATGAAACCCAACCCCAAACTGAATCAAAATAGATTTAAGTCAAAATTCACTAAGTTAAGAAAATATATATATATATATATATATAACCAAAGTATTGGTAATTAGTCATGAAACAAAGTATTACTGAAACCTTCAGACAAGCTTATTTGTGTTTAACGGCTAAAATGTCATGAAACCCAACCCCAAACTGAATCAAAATAGATTTAAGTCAAAATTCACTAAGTTAAGAAAATATATATATATATGATCTATAGTGGAGTGAAGCTCAGTCCTTTGAGTTTCTGGGAACTTTCTGTGGCTAAAAACCCAGTTTGAGGAAGGTATCACACCCAGCTTGAGAAAGGTAGCATTTAAACACAGTTCAGGTATCATTACACTACTGCTGAGCAAAAAAAAAAAAAAATCACAAGTACAAAAAACATCTGAAAACATGAAGCTTTATCAATATATTCCACTGCATATAAAGACTGTGTTTAGAAATTTAGCAGATCTCTTTTATTCTCTATCTTTTATAGATGCTTATTTAAATATTAAAAGGGCTTTGAATTTTGGTGGAACACAATACAACAGGTACCTTTCACCACTTAATAAATGGCAGTTGTTCCAAAGCAAGAGACTTTGTATAACTATAGAGAGAATACTTATTTCAGAAAGTAACAGTTATCTAGAACTAACAGCACAACATGCTAAGGGAAAGGGATCTTTTTTTTTCTTTTTTTTTTTAAACACAGAATGCATAATTTCTCATTAAATTGTTCTACAAAATAAAAATCAGCTCAAGGAAATGCACCCTAAAATATAACCCTGAAAACAATGCATCTAAGCCCTCTGAAATAAGCTGTGGATAATTCTAGGGAATAGAAAACCAATTAGAGTCTTCTCCTGTGGTTTGAAATGCCATGTAAAGAATGGTGAATTAATAAAGGTAATGGAAATTAGTTTGCAATATGATTAAAACATTCTCTTCAAATGGCTCAAAGACATTTGACTGAATTAAAATAAAGCTGGCAGGTAGGTAAAACACTAGGAAGTTAACACTCTAAGATACAACTACTAATAGATATAAATATATATATATTTAAACAACTGATTTTATATCCATTTAGGGTGCATTTTCCCCTTTTTCAATCTTCCACTATTGAAAGCATGAAATCTATAAAATGATATGTAACAAGAGAGAATGTGACAGACTCTGGTGGGCATGAGAGAGGTAGGTGGAGGGAGTTAACATTTCTCATTAACATTTCTCTGATAACAGCCTAACTTGGAGTTATTTGATGTCTCCCCTTTGCAGAAAGACCCCCTGAGAACCTGGGCAGCTGTGGCAGCAGGAATCAACCATTCCCTGAATGAGTACAAGCATTTTTCTGCAAGTCATTTACTAGATCCAAAGTTACCTTTTCCTGTGCAGGTTTGAGAACATTTTCATTTAATGTCTGACCTAACTCTGATGCCTATTTAAAAGCAAAATAAAAACAAAGTCAGTTATAATTTCTTTTTAAAAAAACCCAATAAAAACCCACAGCAAACAACTTCTGCAGGCCCATTTCTCAGCAGTATCTCCAAAAACACAAGAAGCCTTTAGCTTTGAGTCATACAAGCAGAACGAGCTGAAAAGCACACACAGCAAAGTGCTGCAGGAGACATTAAGAGACAATAAATTAAAATCAGATACACATGGCAATAGATGCCAGAGCCCAAGCAAAGTCTGACCTTGCACTGGAAGCAGAAGCAATGGTGCAACCAGCAACAGTTTTGAGGATGGGCCCCTTGTTGATGATTGCAGCTGAATATTTGGAAGAACTGTTCTCATCCCCCCTTATTTTTCCACACCAATTAAATTACTCTTAGAATTAGATCTTTTTGGCTGATTTCCCCCCAATTTCTCTGTCTTGTAGTGCTCCAGTTATCATCTGTTATTAAGAGGCCAAGTGTTTCTAAGCAATACACAAGATCCAAAGCTGTGACAGAAGATTTTTTATATTTTCTTTAAAGCTCCAGGTTTGCAGGGAGAAAAAACAATCAACTGCAGAAATCTGTTGCAATCCAGAACAAGATGCACAAGGATATTGTACTTCAGAGGCAGCTTACAAAAATGTAAGTCCACAGTCCAAGTCACAAAATTACTTTCCTAAGGCAAAGCTGACAAGGACAGCAGGTTTAGAAGAGTTTGAAATCATTCCTTGCCCTACTACTATAATAAGCCTTTGACAGATTTAAACTTTCTTCAGAATTGCCATATCATACTGAGTGCCTCCAGAATTATCCTGGTTAACCCAAAAGGGCCAATATGCCAGGTGATTAAGTTTCATTTCCTAAGGGGTCATATTTGATTACTACCATTGCACAGGGTGTGAGCCTTCACTCATGTTCTTCCTGGGAATGGAGCACCTTCAACATCTTTCCTCCACAGACTCCCAGGTGTCTAAGAAGCCTTTCCCTAAGCCACAGCATTCCCAGGATCTCCCCTTTTCCCAGCCATTAGCTCCAGTACTTGTACTCCTCACAGGATAAAAATTCTTTGAGAAGCAAAGGCAAAAGGAAATCCTACTTCCACCTAATGAGAAACATGAATGCAAATCACAAAGGGCTTGTTACCTTTGGAAGCGAGGCTACAAAGTGTTTAAGAAAAACAAGAATGGGGTGTTCTCATCTTTGAAAAACCCTCTGGAGCCTACTGAACCCAGCATAGTGTTCATGACTGATAATAAAGAGTGTAACACACCCAGACTAACAGTTCAGGTGTCCAGTGGAGGCACTGCTAGAAATAAGGAAGAATTCTTACCTGATCTCTTACTCAGCCACATAATTTTGTAAATGTGGAATGGAAAGATTTGGGTACAACTGCATTTTCATCAAAATCACTTCACCCTTCCTTCCTACTGCTGAATTTAGGACAGCACTCTAACCACCACAACAAACACCTCATTCAAGTGTCTGCCTTCCAGCAACACCCAGCTCTTGGCACATTCCTGGGGCAGACATGCAAACAGAAATCCTGAAATCATCAGAGTGTGGACAGCAGCACAGTCAACTTTCAGACAGTGCACAGCTTGGGTACCTCTATCTAACTTGACAAATTTTAAGTAGGCTTGAAGAAATGTTACCATACAAAACACACAACATTATTCTAAACAGGTTTGATGTAAGGCAGAGAAAGAAAAGACAGCTCAGGAGCAAATGCACATATTCAGCACGAACAGACAAGGAGTCCATGCACAAGAACAGATGTGAGGGTGTTACCGGCTCTGGCTGCTGCTTGTAGCCCCAAAACTTTACCCAGAGAGCAAAAGAGAAAAGAGCAAGGAAGGTAGAAGCAGCTTTTAGCAAAAAATTGGCAGCATTTTTTCAGGCACGTTAAGTATCATGAACCTATTTCAATTTTTAACATCTACTGACAAGAGAAATAGTGAAATGTGTTTGGTCACTTGGTCCCACATAAACTTTTAACCAATGTAGTGCATCAAAAATGTGTTAAATCTGTTCTACAAAGGGTCAGAAGTTTCAGGAACAAATTTAACCTTCAGTAATGCAGCTTAGACTGTAGAGCATGATGTTGTTGTAGTCCTTGTCAGTAGATGTGATGAGCTTTTAAACTTAATATTATATTTATTAATAATACTAAAGAAAGAGAAGCTTTTATTACAAAAGGAAAACTGCCAGAGGGAGTGAAGAGGAAGACCTGTAGAAAACTCAGTTTTTCTTAAGCCAAGCAGTAAATATTTCAAAGCTTTGAAGTAGGAAGTTTGGGTGCTTTAACAAGACATTTTTGTTGCAAACATGCCCCAGTTTGGCCATTTGAAGGATTAGTATCCCAGTGCACAGACCTCTCTGAACACCTGCAGCTGCACATTGGTTTTGAGCAATACTTTCTATGCCTATCAGAAAGCAAACCAGGCTAATGCTGCACATACACAAGAGTCATAGTTCAATTAAAACTCCTGAACCATCTATAAATATCTGCATCTCACTCAGAACTAGGAAAATTAAGAATCTCCATTCTTTTATCATTTTTACATTTGAATTTAAAACTTTTTCTTGCAGATACATCTTGCCTATGTCAGAGCTCTGTGTAATCAGGTCTGACTGTCTGTTTTAAGCCCAGTTTGATAAATGAAATCTTTTTGTCATTGCTACTTTTTAAAACACACACAAGCAAGTTGATTTATTAATAATATTGAGCAGTTCACACTTGTAACATCTTATTAGGCTTTAGCCATGGGAAGCTGGCTTGCACTGTATATCTATCACCAAGAAATCTACTTCAAGCTGGACCACATTTAAGATTCACAGAAGTAAACCAGGGGTGTGTTAAGTTTGCAAGCTCTGCAACCTCTCCAACACATCCAACAGGAAAAAAGAGCAGAGTATCTCTGTGTTATCTCTTGCTTAATTTGATCACTGCAGCTGATTGCAATTCCCATGGAATTAAAAGCTAGACCTAAACACTACTGTGCACTATGAAGGAAAAGCACACTGGTCTGCTGATGATCAAATCTAAGTCAATTGGTGCAGGCAAACACATGGCACTTAAAGACAATTAGATGGAATAAGAGCTAAATCTATAATCACCTTTTGACTTGCTTGAGATCCAAATCTGGTAGCCTGTGAAGAGAAGCAAATACTTGCAGGTTTACCTGGAATAAACCCTTTGATTTTCAAAGACATGCATTTAGAAATGCTGTATGATCCTCTCCAAGGTAAAGGAGCTTTGGCAGAATTTCACAGTGAAAAGAGAATACCCTTATCACCACCTCTGGCATTCCACTGCTAATTAAACCACATTTCATTTACTTACACCCTCTTTAGCAGCTGAGGCAATTTTGCTTGCTCCAGTTGTAAAACTGCTCCATCCCTTTAAAGAAAGCAAGAAAGTGGTGAGCTACATGTGAATAACAACAGCAAATAACCAAATTTTCATTAAAACAGATTAGCTGAAGTCAAAATAGTCTAATACAGCTTGTCCTGTAGTTGTAAGAACTACCTGCTACTGAGAGAAAAATTAGAGCCTCTCATTTCACTGATATATAGTAATGAACTTCCAGTATTTGTGTGAATTTGAACAAGCCAGAGTGTTTCAGATGTTACTCTGCTAAAAATGGCTACAAGTGTGGGGAAAAATCATCCCATGCAGTGGAAGACCAATTGTTTTCCTCTCCAGGATGAACATCCATGCAAGGAACTCAGCCTGCCAGAAATACCGGGCTCCAGGACACGCTGCAATGTGTGTCTGTGCTCACACGAGGGCATTCCAGCCAGGACATTCAGGGAGGTCCTGGACTCAAAGAATGGCTCACAGGAACAGGAACTGTGCTGCCTCTCCTTGGCTGTCTTAGCTCACCTGCAATACACTGCAGATGTGCTCTCTAATCTGAACTCTCTGGCCTAAAGGAACCTAGAAGGAACCTAGAAAATATTTAGCTGATCTACACCAAGCAGCCAGTGGGATCACCTGGAATCTGGTGATCAACCTGTTCAAAGGCTCAGGCATTACCTTTCTCTGGTAAGTTCTAGTGAAGTTATTTATTTATTTTTAAATAAACAGTGGAACCTGGTGTGAGAATTTAGGTAGTGAGGCTCTACAGAGGGCTGTTGGCCACTCACCTTGGTAGAATAACTTACTGTATTTCCAAATGACTCCAAACCCCAAATATTGCTCAGCACTGTGACTCTGCAGCCTATCAAAGCACCCTGACTGCCTCTGACTTTATTCCCATTTTATTTCAACAATGCATCTTTCATTATCTCTACTTGAATCACGACAACTGTTCAGCCATATGCTGTTATCTCTTCACACCCTGTCACAAGTATTTCAAATGTTTTCATCACTGCTCAGGGCTTCTGGCACCCACATACACACACATTTCAGTTGTTTTCCTCTGAACATCCCTAATATGGTTAACAGACTTAGAGCTATTCCTTACAGGTAATTACATTTTTTCCCTTCAGCTCTGTTGATTATTATTTCTTAATCCATTGCTATATCCTCACTTATTTCTATGAACTGATACCAGACATAATTCTTAAGTTCTGCTCAATTTTCTCCATTCTGCCTGTTAAAGTCCACCAGTATCTTCTTCCCTCTTTGAGAATACAACCAATACTCTGCATCTCTCCATACCCACTTGCAGTCTTCAGTTTCTCCTCTCCATTCATGTTCTCCCATACCAGGGGCTAAACCAGAAAAAAACAGTAATTCAGAAAGCTCCAAGCAATTCCTTACCGAGTACAACGAGGACATGGCATTATTCAGGAAGTCATCCTCTTTTTTTGGAGGGTTTACTGTGTTCCCAAACCCCACGTAGCGATTCTCTTGGCCACTGCCACGGGAAGAGGAATAAATAGTCCTTGTATCAGCATGCAGCCATTAAAAACACTAAACAAGAACTGAAAAGCATGGAAGGATGACAGTTGTTTTTGCACCTGGAAAAGAAAGTCCTGTAGCACCCAGCACCCAAAATACAAAACTAGTCACTTCATAAAAACACCAAGGATCCACTGAGGAATCCTAGCACAATATAATTTCCTCTGTGCAAGCTAATGCGGTCTTAATGATTCTCCAGGTTTAACAAATCACTGACATCAGAAAGCTGAGTAAATCCTAATAAAGTCACACATGCAAATGAGAAAAGGAGTGAAAGAAGCTTTACAAATGCCTCTGTTTAACTCAAATCACTGTAAGGTACAACACACAGTCAGAATTCCTTGGTCTGGAACCCAAATAATATTTGGACTTACAAACGTTTTCTTCAATGCTTCAAACATTTTGTTATGCTAAAGAGAGAGGCACTCAGAAAGTCAGTAAATATTGCATTACCCTTGGTAGGAGCTGACATCATCATTTAACCAGTCTTCAAAAGCCTTGTCAGAAGAGGCAGTTGCAGTATGAGATTGTCCAGCAGAACTGAAATAAAACATTGAATAATCAAAGCCATGTTAAGCAAAACCCACCAGCTCAGCAGTACAGCTTGACATACATCACCATAATACAGGTTAGAAATTGATTATTTATTTAATCTATCAAGAAGAGAACTCTAATGCAACCACTAAAAGGCATGAAGCTCTTGTTCCTTTGATTTACAACTGCTTTTGCAGTTAACTCACATTCTTAGTGCACAGAGTAACAAACACTACATGCGAAAGCAGAACAACAGAACTGCTGTGGTACAGAGCTTTGATGCTCCCCTGGTAATTAGCAGCAAAAGGGAAAAGTCTGTTTCTTTTTCCCTGGCATCCAGCCCCAAACTGGCACAGCACCACAGTTAAGGTGAGGACACAACTATCTGTGAGTGACACAAATGTCTAATTTCAGGTGCATTACAAGTCAGGATAAAACAAACATGGCTTCTTCCCTGCTCTTGCTCACTTCTGTCTGCCATGGTTTAAGGCTCAGGTGCAGGAGGTGAGAACTATTACTTAAACAACATCCTGTTCCCTCATACTCCATAACTTCAGCTTGTTCAGACACCAGCAGCAACAGGGTAAACCCAGCAGACATGAAACCATCAGGTTTTGATGCTGTGTCTGTATCTGATGCTGCATCTGTACCAACATTAGCGAGGTAAGCAGGGCACGTACCGGTGAGCAGAAGACAGAGACATTTTAGGCTGAGGTGGGGTCCAGTTCCTGGCAGGAGAAGTTTCAATGGACCACTCCTTGCCTTCAGCTACTGTAGCTACCTACAAGAGGCAGAATAGTCAAGAATGTCAAGTCAGAGATTTCATACAAATTACAAACTGGTTCAGTAACACAAGTCATTTTTCCAGTTTGCTGCTGGATCACTTAACTTTTTTCACAAGAAACCAATTTTTTTCTGACTCCCAGGTTGTGATGTTGAATTGAACACTGGTTTTATTTCAGGCAACTGAAATAGAAAATTAGACAATTTCCTCAAAGAGGCAGGTTTGGTTTGAAGAGGAAAGATTGGATTAATGAAGACATGTAAGCACTAATCACAGAGTAATGGAGGAACAGAACTACATTATTGCTGTATGTTACTACATACACTAAAGATTTATCAAATCACTTTGGCTAGAACTGTGCAGCTGAGGTAGTGAACTGAGAACTCAGGCAGCTCCACTGACTAAACACCTGCAACAAACTGCAGCACTGAAAATCAGAGCTACCTCAGCTAAATGCAGAAAGGAAAATTTCAATAGAAAAGTCTTACAAGACTTGGGAAGAAGCACTCTAAGACCTTTAGGGACCCAAGAGGGCAGTGCTGGATTGCCAGCTCTGAGGTACCAGACCCTTGGGCTAAATTAGAGAGACTTACTCAAAATAAGGAAGTTAGTCCAGAAATGCTCCTGCCTGCCCAAGACACTCTTTCCTAACCCCACCTTATCTCCCTGGCAGGACAACATTCCTTTTCTCTTCTGCCAAATATCTGAGCCATCAACTCATTCAGGTTTACATTAACTCTTCCAGGATTTCACTCTCTCACATTTACCTTTACAGGAACCACTGCAGAGGTTCAAAAAATTGCAATTTCCCTCCTTTCAAAACCAAGTGCTTACAAAGCATGTTGATATTTCAGATCATAGGGGTGAGGAGTCACCTAAAACTGAGCTTACCTGGTCTCTAAACAGAGCTGCAGCTTTGCTGTTGTATTTCTCTTGCATTGTCCAGCATGGATCATAATCATCTTGAGACTCCAAGAACTGCCGGAATTTGCTGTTACCTCCTGCTTTCATTTTCTCCAGCTCAATATCCTTCCACTTGTCCATGGTTACAGAACGCACAAAACTGAGAAGCAGGTTTAAAAAGAATAAAATTTAGATCACAGCTTGTTTCATGCTGTATCAACAGTGACCAAAAAAAAGCTTATTACAACCTATCTCAAAAGTTGAGAGTATAAACATGTTAGAGAACACTCTCCTCCAAGTACAGAAAGATCATAAGAAGGTGGGCAGATCCTCACTGAAATAAACCAAAATCATGTCATTTATTGGCATTTAAAGGAGACAGTCAACAGAAGGCAAGTGACTGAAAAAGCAGCTTCCTTCAAAGTCCAGAAATTAATTTAGCCCACTATGTAACAAACTTTTCCCATACTTCACTCTGCAATTTTCTTTTTCTGTCTATTATCATGTATTTTGATGGTTGGACTTGATGATCTTAGAGGTCTTTTCCAACCTTGGCAATTCTATGATTCTATGTCCTCATCTCAGAAATTTCATCTTTTCTTCCATGCCACATACAGAACAGTTCAAAAGGCTCCTTTCCTATGCAACTTCTACTCACTAATGAGCTTCAAATCACCCCTGGAAAAGCAAAGAATGTACTTCTGAATGGCCTCCTTGCTTTGGTGAGTTCCCTCTTGGGCTTCTTCCCCTTTCCTCATGTGAGTAACTGCTCCCTGCTTTGACCCTATTACATACACACCGTGAGCCTCCAGAACCCAAAACAGTTCTCATTCAATAGACCCCCATCTCAACTGAGCACAGTTCTTGGAAAACAACAAAAACTATCATTTATATTACAAAGAAAAAAGAAATCTCCTGAAAAGAATAAAGCTGTTTTTCAGACTAGTTTTATAAGCAACTAGTTACAGACAAGGCACAGAGAGCAAAGCCCACTTTGGAGAGGAGCACAAAGCAAAACTGCCAGTGATGTGTTGGATTTGAGACATTCTATACATTCCAAACCAACACATGCTGTTCACAGCCATAATGTACCCTGAGGTAATGCAACTCAGTCCATGGTGTGCTGGAAAGGCTGACCTGAGGTGAACTCCCAAGCCTCGGTGTTTTCCTGAGCACTCCAGACAGATCCAAATTCCATAGGTCACACTCACCCACTGGGGGTTAAATGCACCACATTCAAAACAGACCTGTGACAGAAAAACAGTTACTGCTGCAATCTGTCATCACTGTCCATGGGAAGTTTTCACATCTCAAAAAGGCAAATCATGAGAACATCACACACCAAAAATAATTTCAAAAGGAAGGGTTCTTAGTGTTTGGAAACACCTTCCCTGCTATAATCAACTTCCTTCAGGTGTTTATTTATGTTGCTTGAATTATAAAAATTACTATACCAACTACCAAAAACAAGTGAGGAAATACACACAAGCAAATGGAATTACTATGCAAAGAATTAATTTTGATTTCATTTCCATTGCCTTGAAAGTAAGTAACCAATCTGAATTCTTGAGGTTTCCTTGGCAAAATAAAAATGCAATATTTAAAAGTTTGGAACATTTTTTCATTCACACTACAGTTTGGCAGTAAATGGTAGCAGATCTAAACAGAACTTCTTCTTTAGAAATAGCTTTATTGCTCATACAGTGCAACAACTTCAGTTTTATGATCGGATTCACCACTCAAGATTTAATGTATTGATATAAATAAAACTGAATCTTTCCACAGACTATCACATTTAAAGTATAATCAAGCTACTTGAAATGGATTATTTTAAGTTGTGCCCCAGACACAAATTGTTGAAAAGACCCCAGGGGTCCCAGTTTTACTAGAACTCCTGAAATACCTGTGCCAAATATACAGCAATGTATTGTAATGCATATATGAGATATCCAAATTCCTATGTTAGCATTAGTGAGCCACAACACAAAGACAACAGCAGCTGTAGCAGACCCAGTGTACATTTAGAGTAGGTAAAAAGCAAATGCAATTCTACAAAACTGATCTAAAGATCATAATTTTCTCACATTGTTCTCATCTTGTGCTCTGACTTCCTTGAGGACTTTCCTTGTTCTTGGACTTGCCATGATTCTGCAAAGGGAGAAAAAGAAACTAAGTCATGATTAGGGATTTGATGTTGGTAGGATGCTCAGTACCTCAGAAGCACAGCTCTGACAGAGAGAATCTAAACCATTGACTCCCAACCAGCTGCAGAAGAAAAACAGACAAACCAAACCACCATAAACCCCACAAGTTTATTTTTCCATTTACTTTGCACTTTTGGGGGGATTTATTCATCTTAACTCCATCAGTGGAAAGGTGTAATTAAGTCATGGCTGAAAAGTGGGCAGGGGGTGATAAAACACAGGAATTCTTCTATGTCACAAGTGGTATCAAAACAGATTCTACTCAATGCTGCTCCCAGGCCCATCCACAATCCTTCCTGAAAGCACTTCCTAACATCCATGATTTCACCAGATCACATGCACACAACTCATCAGACCTACACAAAAAATAGCAGAAACTCTTACACTTCAGAGTTGCTAAAAGAGCCCTTTACTAGATGATACAAGAACTTGTCATTTTCCAGAAATATTAAGTTTGTTGTCAACTGAATTCTAAGAAATTAAGGCAATTCTTGGGACCTTTTACACAAGACAGTATTGTAATTCAACAGGCATGTCTCACTGGCAGACCACACCATCTCACTCTAATTTTTATGACACAGAAAACAGCAGGAAGTTGTGTCAAGCTATGGATAAAATTCACATTATGGCAAAAAATATGATTCACACACAGTACACAGCCTGGAAAAACCCAAAGTACACAAAGCACTCATGATTTGAAGAACTATAGTGTAGGGTGCAGCATAAGGCTGCCATTTAGATAATAAATAAATTCCTATTATCAACTAATAGCATCATATTTAAATTAACTTTAAATAAATAACATCTGTTCTCCCTTTTTACTTCCTCTCCATCTTGTAATTTCTACTCCAGAAAACAAACTTCTAAGATGTAATAAAAGACAGAATTCACCAAGCTGACTAGAAATAGCATCAACTACTGAAGGTCAAGCTTATTGACCAGTCAAGATACAAAGCATAAAACAGCAGATTGATATTTTCACCAAACACTGGTGTGAGAGGCAAAAATGCCTTTATGCAACTGACACTGATTCACTGTGCTATTTGAACAAATAATCAAAAGTCCTTAGAACATCAATAAAATTAACAAGCTCACAATGATTTTAGAAGGTAAATGATTGTTACATACAACAGCCCAAGGAGATGGAGGAAGATGTATCTTTAACAAATAAAGGAAGGGTGTTTAAAAAGGTAAAATGCTACAGGTAAGGAAACATTGCATTTGTATGACTGACATCAAGTTCAATCTCTAAAGCAAAGCAGCACAATAAATAGTTCTGTGCATCACCCACTAAGACACCATGACTCAGAAAGGAAAAGCTCAGTGTTGTACCTACGTACTGCCACTGCTAAAAGCAGAGGGTGTTTGTAGCAGAAGTCACTGCTTTTTATCTAAAGCACTTTTTCCTCTGTAAACATCTTGTTGACAAATGCTTAATTCTGTGGAATTTAAGGTGAAGTGCTTTCACTAATGTTTAGAATGTGCCACCTCTTCAGCCTTAATTACTTTTTATTGGGCAAAACCAGGTAATTGTGATAAAAGTTACTGCAAGTAGTGGTGAATAAAACCTTCCTGCATTAAAATAAAACTGAGCACAGTTATTTTTATCAATAATCTAATAAAAATTGTGTAACTTTACGAACAGGAGAATGAAAGTGTGTCAAGTGACTCCTGATATAATGAAACACACTTTTTCCAACAGCATTCCAAAAACATTTAGCCTTCCTTGACTTACTCATGTACATGTGAGCAGGGAGGGAGATAGCACTATATGCATTTGCTCATGTCCTAAATAACAACCATAAACACATTTATATGACTCCCAGACTCTGTCTTCAATTCCACGATCTGACCCTGGTGAGATAGAGAATTCTTCCTCTGCAGTAGAGAAATTAAGTAAATAACTCAGCAGGAATAGCCAGACACACAACAGTGCACCCTCTGGGCCCTCCTCTCTGCCATTATTGCTGCCTGCTCTTTGCATGCCAACATCTCATCCTCAGGAATTAATTTCCCCAGCACCTTCCTGTACATTACTGGCAGCTTCCAAAGCTCCTCTCTTTGGCTGGATGTTCAATCCTCTTACCCCTACCCTTCCTTTACCACTTTTCCTCCTTTTTTACAGGTTTTCAATCAGAATAACCAACAGAAGCAATCTACATGCAGAGGCCTTCCAGCCTCAATGGCAGATGAGCACTGCTGGAGCTGAACAGGAAAGACTCTTCCCACTCCAACTCTGCACATGCCAGGAATTGTCTACAAAGCAGAAAGTTGCATCCATCCTCCAACAGCCAATATCCAGCCCCCTTCAGAGCTTATGCACAAGTTTCAGATCTGCATCTCCAAGGTGACAGAGGAAGCAATTGCTTTTGGTTCTGCCATAACTAACTTTTTTTAAGACTTTGGCCAACTGCAGTTTGAACATACCCCCCATTCTACATGCACCAAGTTCCCTGCCCAAATCACGTCTGTCTGGTGGGAAGGCAGAGCTTCACCCACACCATGACATCCAAGAAAAGGAGGAGGTAACTAAAGGCACCAGCTTTTCATCTTGTCCTCCTCCACCAAAGCATTTGGAAATAAAGAACAAAGTAAAAATGTCATGTTCTAAGCTTTCCAATAGGTAATATCTTTAGAGGTGCCTAATTTACTTTTAATGATTTTCCCACAAAGCTTTAAGGGTTCAAATTATCATTAATTACCACCAAAAAACTGAACCCTGGTAACTGACTGGACATATAACCACTGTGCTGTTTAAGTTTCATGACTAAATACTGAAGAAAGAAGCCACTTTAAAGAAATATACATTGTTTTGATCTAACAGAAATGGACATAAGCAGTGAAGCAAATGTTTACTTTGGAGTAAGTTTCCATTGAAGAATGTAAATATTTTTGACAAGGATTCCAAAGTGGAAAGAGACAGCTTCACACAGACCAATCTCACACTCTTATTTCCCAAACAATCTGCTCCCAGAGCAAAAAACTAGATGTACACTATATGAGTTTTCTAATTATGAAATCTTTAGCTTGCTAAAGAAGCAAAAAGGCAGAAACGGACTAGAAGTGGAAATAATACATAACAGGACTTTGCTCCTCTGACACAGCAGCAAATTCAGAGCCAAGCTGCAAGAAGCTTTGCATTTCAGCACACGAAGAGTCAGCGGGTGACGTGGCCTGGTGACTTCGTGGTCCTGAAGGCTCCCTGCGAGTCTCACCAGTGCAAAAAGGCCACAAAGGCTGAAGAAACCTTTGCAATTTCACACTGCGCCCACCTCCATGGAGCTGGCACGGTTCTCCTTCGCAAATACATCAAAGACCGGCGCATACTTTTAAAGGCGAGCGGTTTCACACTCACCCGCCTCACGCAGCGCCTCGCAGGGCCGAGAGAAGGGCGATTCCTTCAGCACACCTGCGCTACCCGGATCGCAGCGGCGTCCTGCAGCCTCCCTCAGAACATGGCCGGGTTCCGCCGAGCCCTCCGGCCTCTGCTTTCTAGGCAAGAAAATAACGCAGAAATAGCTGAAACAGCGGGCAGGGTGATGCCTCCTGCCCGCCACGCCAGCCTGGCACCCGCACCTCGCCCGCCCTCGGGACCGTCCTGTGTGACTGTGCGGGGGCCGGGCCCGAGCGCCGCCACCTCAGCGCTGTGCTGCGGGGCACGGCCGGCCCCGGCACAGCGAGCCCCGGCGCGGGGAGCCACGGGGACGCACCACGACCCTGAGCAACACCACTGCCCCTGTCTCGGTCCAGGTCCTGATCGCGGTGCCGGTCCTGAACCCGGTGCCGATCCCGGTCCCGGCCGCAGCCCGGTCCCGCCCGGCGCCGCCGACGTTGCAGGGCGCGAGGCATTGTGGGCGCGCGGCTTAACCCGCTGCGGGCCGGGCGACGCCGAAAACATTCGATTATTTCCGATTCCGTCTGAAGAGAGAAGTTTAAGGGATTTGTTTCCACCGGGCAAAGCTGAAATAAAGCTTTGCAGCGAACCTTGCGGCCGCGCTGCTCTCCGTGCGGTTCCACGCTGCAAAAACGACCCCCGGCGTTTATCGCTGAGGGGAGGCTGCGCGTGGAGGTGAATTATGTGGAATTAAGTGGTTTTTCCTCACGCACCTATGGATGTGAGCCCATGTTGCTCCCAAGCTGGGAATAGCAGATGGAGGGGCTGGTTGGACCCCCAGGCCTCCCCCAGCTTGGCGTCCAGCTCTGCCTGCGCTGCTGTGGTCACAGCTGGAGCACTGCGATGGGTTGGGGAGCCCCGATCGATATATGGAGGAGCTGAAGTTACTAAGGAGCATCCCAAGGAGGCCACAAGGATGAGGAAGGGTCTAGGGAAAGCCATTAGAGGAGTGGCTGAGGGTCCTCGGGTTGTTCAGCCTGAAGGAGACTGAGGGGAGACATCATTGAGGTCTGTGCCTCCTCATGAGAGGAGCTGGAGGAGCATCTCTGCTCTCTGGTGACCAGTGAGTGGACACAAGGGAATGGCTGATACCATTCAGAGGAGGTTTAGGTTGGATATTACGAGAAGGTTCTTCCCCCAGAGGATGGTTGGGTGCTGAACAGGCTCCCCAGGGAATGGTCATGGCCCCAAGGCTGCCAGAGCTCAAGGAGCTTTTGGACAATGCTCTCAGGGATGCACAGAGTGGGATTTTGGGCTTTCCTGTGCACCAAAAAGTCCGTGTTGGACTCGATGATCCTTGTGAGTCCCTTCCAGCTCAGGACTTTGTCTCCAGATATCCTCCCAAAGGTGAGGGTGGATCAGATGGGAAGAGCACCCAGAGTTGCTTTGTGGTGCTTGGAAGCACAAGCCAGGCGAGCACATATATGCTATTGCTAACTTCTCTTTAATCATCAGCTGTAGGCACAGGGCAATGATTTAGTGTTTACATCTGAATCCCACAGAGACAATACGCTGCTCGTTTCAGTGCAACTCCTAGTCTGGCCTCTGTACTTAATAAGTAGGCTATTATCTGACTATCAGCGCACGGGAGATTAACAGGAGCCATTTTCATTACCATTAATGGTGGCTACACACATAATGCCCTTACATCAATGAGAAGATAATGGGCCCTTAAGTGTGTGTGTGTGTAAGGCTGACAGAGGAAGGGGTATGAAATAGAAAGCAAACTCGGCTTAAATAACTTGCTTTTCCAGTTAAGAAGAAAGTAATCTCTTCTCATAAGTACCATCATTTTCTGGTAAACGTGAACCAACAGGCAATGAGGTTCCCATTACACAAATGCTGTGTTACAGGGTCTAATGAGCATATTAATCTTTGTTTTTCCATATAATTGGTAGATAATCCAGGGATTTGTGTTGGCGTTGGCTCTGCAGTGGTTGTGGGTGAATGTGTGTGCTCGTAGCCTGAGCCAGGAGTCATCCTCAACTCCAGACACACAGTGAGCAGAAAAGACTCACCTACACGAGGGCTGCAGGACGGGGCTGTCTGGTGAGCAGCAGGAATGAAGGGATGCCACAAACATTTGTCTTTCTCAGCAAGCAAATAAATGTGTGCCATTCCCCGGCAAGTCCAGTTTGCACCGTTCCTGGAATTTGGGATGGGTGCATAGCTCTCTCCCCATCTCTGCAATGTGTGGCAAATGTCTATTCTAAGATAACAGATAATGCCAAGAAAAAACATTTGCAAAGGCAGCCAGCACTGCCTTCCCTACTTGTTCTCTTTATCTGCTTATGAACTGTTTCTAGCTTGAAACTAAGTGACAAATATTTTTAGCACAATTGCCATTGTTATAATTGTTATGCCCAATGTCAAGAACATATGAAACATGATGATAAGGAACAAATTACAGCATAAAATAATACAAGGCAGGCACAGTATCCTTGAGCTGTTTTCCATGTTGAGATTTTCCAGATAGAAATCATTTTGCTTGGCTTCAAAAGGACAATATGCAAACATGTAAAGGTCAGTCTGATTTGAGAGCACAGAAAACAGCCAGAGCCAAATTCTGCAGAGATTTCATGAATAAGTTCACCATAATTGCAGTGAAGAAGACTAACAGCAAGTGGAAACTTACTAAGATAAGCTACCTAGTGTGCAATTTTGCTTGTAAATTAATGATTTTGTATGATGGCTTTGAAACTTCTCAGGGGGAAAAAAAATTTCTGGAATAGGATTTAAACCAAAGAGCATTCATTTTCACTTTCTCCTGTTTTACAGATTTACTAAACCCTTTCTAATCTATTAATAAGACTAGATTTTGGTTATTAAATATTGCAGTCCTTGACATTAATGAAATGGCATTACCTCTCAGTTTAAATGGCACAAAAATACCTGAAAAATTCTCTTCTAGAATAGCTGACAGTCTGAGCTTCAAATATTAAAGGCAAAAGCCTTTTTGGACTTGTTTACTGATGCCTTTGTGGGCTGAATTACAACCCTCACTAGTAGCAGCACTTGTCATGGACTGAGAAACTGAATCTTTATTGCCTTTTTCCCTCCCAACACACCTGAGATGAGCCACTATATCAGGATGTCACAACACTTAAATTGAGGGGGAACAAGAAGAAATGCAGATCCCTTCTTAGATAAATCTACTTAATAAATCTGAGCAGCAAGGAGCGAGGAATGGACCTGTTTGCATGATAAATGTCACCACTGGAGTTCTGCGTTGTCACCGTGTGTGACTTACGTAACTGTGTGAATAAAGTACAACTGTGAATGTAACACAGAAGTGTGTCTGTAACTCAGAGCTGTGTCTGTAACTGTGTGAATAATAATGTCACCCCAAACTCAGCCCTTCTAGCGCCAGGAGAGGTCTGGTTAATTGATGGGACTGTGGTAACACCCTTTTCCTGCTCGGTTTTTTGGTACTTCTGTTTTGCCTGCTCTGAGCAGCACCCTGGGAACTGCAGGTTGTCACCTGAGCCACCAAAGGCTTCACCTCATTTTCAACCTCAAGAGCCTGAGAGTTCAGAGTGACTTTGGGGAGGATCTTATTTTTGTAAATCTCAACAGAAGTTTCCTACTAATTTTATGTCACATAAAAAAAATACTAGAAAAATTGTATGTGACATATTTTCTGCCACGGGATGAAACACCAGTTGTTATTAAATGTTTATTTTTATATTATTATTTGTTATGCTGAATGAATAAGATATTTTTATTAATCATAGCACTCGGGGCTATTGATACTCATTGCACTTGGCAGTCACAGTCTAGCAAGCCTAGTCAGCTACAATGAATATTGCCATTAAGCTACAGAAATGTCACATGCACTTAATAAAACTGTCTCTTCCCTTTCCTTGTACAAGGGAATATTACTTTTTTCCTTCCTTTTCAGCTGAGAATTCCATGTTTTCTGATATATTTCCTCAGTTAACTTGACACTGACACAAATCAGTAACTCCATCTAATGACCAGCACAGCCCTGCTCGTGGCCAGGCACCAAAGCCAGAGTTTAGGCAGGGCTTTAGTCCTACAGCTAAATCACAGTCCTGCCTATGCCAGGACCACACACCACAGGCTCCAGCACTGAATTTCATGTCCAGCTCTTCAAAGCACTGACAAGATCAGGACAGTAATCAGCCCCCATCCTTCCTCTGCATATTTATAGGGAAATCACTTCTGATTGAGCTCCCTGTGCCCACTCCCCCACACAGCTGGGAGGGCATTTTAATGTGTCTATTTCTGCTACCCATCAGGTCACTCAGACATCCTTTCATTATATTTTTCCACCTCAGAGCTAGAGCTGAAACAAAACTTAAGCAAATAGTTTTATTTATAAACCCCCATCAGTCCTTCTCCCTGTGCACATTTTTTTTTTTTCATTTCAAAAATTGAACAAAATTTGGAAGGCTTTTACATGAGACCACAGGAAGCTTTACTCTGATATTAGAACAGCAAACAGAAAATCAAAACCTTTTATTTTAAAAGCAGCTGTTACTCCACGCAGCTTTAACTTTGTGTTTATGCCACATCCATGTGTGTCACATCACAGTTTGTAGCACTGTCAGTCAAAGCTGTCAAAGTGGACAGCTCAGTCCAGGAGAGGGCAAAAGCCTGGAAGTGCTGCTTGAATCTGCTCTGTGGATATTCAGAATGAACCCTGGGAGGCTGGTTCAAGTGGCTTATTTCCAAGGCAATTAAGTCTTTCTTAAGTAAATGTGTGTAAAAAATGCTCCCTCAGCCTGGTGGCACCTGACACTGCTGACTTCTTAATACGCCTTAGCTCTCCCTGGCTGGGATTGGAGAGAATATCACTGAAAACACAGCAGAAAAATTGCTGGGTCTGTGTATGTGTGCGTTGGAATATCTTTGGCTGCATGTTCCATCCCTCCTTGGGGCAGGACTCACAAACGCCCGCTCCTGACACCACACACCCATGCTGCTGCAGATGTCCTTCAAGAGACACACTAAAAGAAACTTGTTATTGATTTCTTCTCCATCACATCACTTGAGACTTGTTAAATTGGCTGGGGGAAGTTTGTAATCATTTGAGAGGAAGAAATGATTCCTAAGCAAATGGGGAAGCAGCTTTTCTAAATGAGAGCACTCTAAGCCAGTGCCTGAAACTGGAGATTGCTCTCACCCTTCAGGCTCTCTTTTTTGTCATATCATTTGAGAAATGCAACTGTTGCATGGAAACCTTGAATAATCACTTGGTATCAATACCCAGGGACCTTGGCAGCTGCATTGAATTACTCCTTGGTCACAGTGCCTAGTGAAACTGCGGCTGGAAATGTGGCTGCAGTCATGCCAGCTACTCGGATTGCATGGCTGAGGTGCTGGGGTGTCAGCTGTGCTTCTCCTGCAGGGTTTAACCCTTCTGGCACTGCCTCCTCCCTGCTCCAGGCTGTGCCTTTTTGTCAGGAATGCTGAC